AGGAGCATGTTCATGAAGTAACTCCAACAGCCTTGGTTAATGGGCTACGGCAGCCAAATGCAGCGTGTTGTTGGCATTTCCTAGTGGCAATTTTCATTTTGTAGACGATTCCAAGTTTTTTGGGAGGGCTGGCAGTGGCCAGCATAGAGGGGAAATACTGGACTATAAAAGGGGACAGATTTAAGTGCTCAGGTGCAGAAAAAAACCCCAAAATTCTATCCAGTAGAAGAAAAGTAAAATCTGGAAGACTGGAGAAGGAAGCCCTCTCTACTGTACCAGACATTTGCGTGTATTTAAAATCCTTCCCAATAAAGTTCATAATGAATTTAATTCAGTCCCCTATGGCCCAGAGGAATGTTCTGAGTAATAAAAAAGTATTGCTAAGGGACAGATGACTGCCAAACTCCTGCTCTGTGCCAGCAATGCACAGTTCTATTATTGGCACTTAAATGCTAGGTTTATTTTACTACATAAATGATCCTTTGTCACATATTAAGAATTAATATTGTCAGCTCCAGTTTTGGGAAGTTACAATAACAATTCCCAAATTTAAATCATTGTTCAATTTGTATGCTTTGTTTTTAAAGAGGTTTGTTTTTTTTTTTTTCAGATTAAAATAGTTGAATGGGGTAATTCCTATTTCGGGTAAACTATTTTGTGGCTCAGCTTTTTGAACTGGTTTTAGTTGAGAATCTTTTAATGTCTTTTTTTTTTTTTTTTCCTTACCTTGAAATGTCTACATCAATGTCAAATAATTGTAGGCTCAAACACTTACGTAAAGGTTGAGACGTATGCACTTACACGTAGTCAACTAGATAAGACAAGGGCTCCTGGCTTCTGTTGGCGTGATCTAATGCACTTTTGATCATTAAATGGAGTGATTCAAATGTGTGTTGGAAATTTCAAGTGATGCAGGTCACTGGACCACAGCATTGCTTTGTTTATAAACATCATTATTCCATGAAAGATAAATCTCTGCTCTCATCTAGTGTGTCACTTCAGTGCAGTAGTCAGGAAAATGGAAAAAGAAAAAAATGGAGCTACTAATTTTTTTTCACTTTAATAAGAAGGAGTGGAAGGAAAAGTTGGATATGAGATGAAACGTGAAGGAATTGAATTCCTAGCAGGCAGCAAGCTCAAGGGAAAAAATGCATCAGTACCGGTGTAAGATGCAGCTTGGTTTACTTTCAAGCTGATACAATGTTCTTTAAGCACCTTCTGCACATGACAACACAACACAAACTTCTACAGCCTGTGTGCAAGTTCAACTCAGTCGCAGCAGTGATTCAGTCAAAATATTTAATATGCGAAGGTCTGAACTTAAAGCTTTTCTTCTGATGCACTTCAGTTTGCTTCATACCTCCCCATGAAGTGTGAACACTTGGAAAAAATATTATGAATTTGTCAGTATGTTTACTTACATGGCGCATCTTCTTTGAATCAACAGGCATTTTTTTAAGTGTAAAAATGAACAATTACTCATCCTTGGAAAACAACGAAGCTTTAAAGACATCCCCTCCCACCTCGCAAGACTAACCTCACCGCGCCGTGCAAGGGCACGAGCAGCTCATTTTTCACCTGCTGTACACACAAGGAAATAGTCAGTTCCCCAGAACAACGTCTGAAGAATGTAAGGGGGAATCTTCAGCATTTGGCAGTTTGAACTAAAAGGAAAGGTCAATGGCAAAGAATTCAGATACAAGCAAAAAATCTGACATGTCAGAGCACTGTGTTTGAGCTTTAAAGCTGAACGCAGGCAGTGTTTGCTCACGGTTTTCCACAGCAGCACTCGTAATTTAGGAAACTATTAATCAGCATGATGAAGCACCCTGTTTCTAACTAAGAACAAAAAACCTCACACTACAGAGCTTGTTTTCTTTTCCCTTGGAAGACATCATCTAGTAAAATTTGACAAGGGTCCTGCAGACCCGGGGTTGTGGGCTCTGTGTGGAAGTTGTGGAGGAGAAAAGACCACAGTGGAGCAGCAGCAGCCTTTCACTGGCTTTTTACAAGGCCTGGCACAAGCCATGGCTCAGGGCTCCTTACTTTCTGTTGTTCTGTGCCAGGGGCTCAGGGCTCCTTACTTTCTTTTGGTCTGTGCCAGGACTGCTATCCCTGTCTTTGTGCTGCTGACAGCAGAGAAAAAAAAACACTGAAGGCTCAAAAATTTGCAGGGCTAATACAAAATTCCGATCAGCGTCTGCCAGAGACACAACAGGTACTGCAAAACTGAGGCAAGAAGGCAGGGGAAGAGTAGGGCAGCCAAGCACAGGGACATGGGATTGTGTAGGAACGGGAATGAGAACAAAGAGACTGTGGCTGAAGAAAGTTCTGGTGGTTAAAGAACAGAAAATGGCAAAGGTAACTGCATCTTTTGCTTGTCTACGAACAGCCTTCCAGGGCTCTTAATCTAGTGCTGCGAGTTGAAGACACATGGCTTCCCCATCCTTCCAAAATTATTGTGACATTAAGTGATTACAGAAGCAAATGATCAAAAAAGACAACTTTTATTTGGTAGCTCGTTCAGTGAGATCATAAATGGGTTAATGTAATTATAGCTTTCATTAACAAAATTAATTTCTTTAAATAAGAAAAAAAAAGACATTTCATACCTTTTCTTTGCTTGGGAGTGGTGGTGGAGAGAACCTGGACATACCCTGTTTCAGCCCTGGCCGTTTCAAAGTTATGAAAATCTTTCTTCCCTTTCCTGCCCCCCTTCCCCATTACATTCATGTCTTCCCACTGGTAAAGTGTCATTTTCCTGGCTTGAAAAATCCGTGTGTGCTATTTCAGACTTGCATTCCTACAGCGATCTGTTCAATGGGGGCCATCTGACCTAGTCTAGACAGGTAAGAATTAAAACATCTCCGTGCTTCCGTTGAGAAAGGAGGCCACACACTGGAGGAAATTAACAGTAGAACACAAGTCTGCTGGGATTGAAAACCGTGCACCACCAGGATACTCTCTACTGGTTTGTGCCTCTGCAGCAGGGAGGCCAACCCGCAGCTTCTGCTCCCTCTAACAGCTGTTCATGTAAGGCACGATTCCTGCAAAGAGAAAAACAAAGTGGAAACAGTAAACTGGTGGCTGCATCGTGTTTCAGAAGTAATGCCTGGTGGGGGGAGCACCGAGAGGAATTATTTTGTGTACCTGGCATTTCATGCAAGATGTTAGGATTTCCAGCGCTCATGTACACCAGAAGCAGTGGATGCCAACGGGGATGTGAGTGCCCTTGCCCTGCCTGGGAACGGAGCCTGCTCAGGTTCTCCCACACGTTTCTTCAGGGCTGCCGTTCTGGAGGTGGCACCATGGCTGCAGCCCCAGTGAAGGCCGGGCCACAGAGGCCGAGTTTTCAGACAGCCAACACTTAAGTCACCCCCTTTTTAATGCCATCAGGGATGCAGCAGCATGTATTTATATTTACATATAAATACAAAATGGTCAGATACCTCATTTTTAAGCATAATTTATAATCTGAAACTGCTTACACTTTCATGACTAGGCTTGGGTTTTTCTCATTTACATTCATAATTTAATTCCACTGGAATTTGATTTTTAAGAAAGCCCAACATATCTTAATTACCATAAAAAGATCCATACATATTTTTACTTAAAAATATCTTCTGTAAGAGGAAATTTACCAAAAATAACACGAAATATATTATTATGCATACATAATTTTTTTTTTAGGTAAAGTACAAACAAGAATTTGATCTCTTCTGGGTATTGCCTGATCTAATATGGCTATAGATTCTATTTATTTTGATTTCCAAAGTAAAGGGAAAGACATGAGAAATGTAAGAACAAGAACCAAAATAAAAATGCATTCTTTCCAAAGATACAGATATCAATGAAAGAACACTTTGAAAACTAATTAATGACAACAGGTACAAAGAAACACTATCCAAGCACTATGCAGTCTTCTGTCAGAGCATGTCCTGCAATGACCTTGCAACAGTTGTTAAAAACAACAAACAAAAAAATGCTACTGGCAGAAAAAGCTGTCAAGCAAAACATTGAAAATTTGGTACTATTTCCTAACGATTAAGTGCAGAACTGATACGAAGTGTTTGATGGGTTTTGCCCCCTGTATGCACACTTCTTCATTCCTCTTTCTGTCCGCAGGACTGATTGTTGCAACTCTGGCAATATGCTGGATGCCAAACCAGGTTAGAAGGATCATGGCTGCCGCTAAACCGAAGCAGGACTGGACCGTCCCCTACTTCAGAGCATACATCACTCTTCTTCCCATTGCTGACATCTTCTTCTACCTCAGCTCGGTGGTGAACCCCCTGCTGTACAACATCTCTTCTCAGCAGTTCCGCAGCGTGTTTCTGCAGGTGCTCCGCTGCCGCCTGACAATAGAGCACGCCAACAAGGAGAAGTTTCTCCGAGCCAACCTGAGCTCCAGAGCAAGGAGCAGCCGGTCTCTACGCCCACTGCTCTTCCTTTCATCTAGGCGCAGTTCTTCCACGAGGGGCAGTGACAAAGTTTTCTTAAGTACTTTTCAGAACGAGACCAAGCCTGACTGCAGTCCACAGAAACCAGGGCTCGAACCACCGGAGCCCAGCTCAGAAGTGGTGCCACTAGAGACTTGCTCCGAGCCCAGTCCAGACGCACAAAATGGCCTTTGTGAACACCAAGTATGACTTCATAAGGCAAAGTTAATGATCAGCAATGAACTCAAAACCATGGAAATTAAAATGACTGAGGAACTGACTACATCTTAAAAGGAATAACACAGATGGACTTGTTTCCAATTACACAAAAAGAACGGGAGTTCTGTATCCTGCTGCTGGGATTTTGAAGTGCACACTGGAAATTCAATCTGCTAACTGAATTCATTAGCTGCCAAAAACATCAGCCCCTCTCTCCCCAAAACCACTGAACTTCCCTCGCTGTTGACAGGGATTTGCAAACAAACAGAAAATAATTGCAGCGTCTTTGAAGAAAGGAGGAGACAGAACAAACTGTGTCAGGGCAAAAAACTTGCTTGAAGTTTAGCAATACAAAACCAAAAGAGCCGATTTAAGGAGCAGAACGGTGGTTATCACGTGTGCCCTCGGCACCACGCCGGAATTCCCCCTCTTCTTCGGCCGGGGTCCATTGCAGAGTGGGGTGTTGCAGCAGCTGATACAGACAGAGTTCACCTTCCCTGGAGAACAGAAGGACTGGTACCCAGCAGAGGCTATCAGACACGCTGCTGAAGACGCGCAGGATTTGCGGTACATGATTCCTGTGACACAAAGCAAAGGTTACTCAGTTTGATCCGAACGGGGTTTCGCTCTACAACACGATTCACGCGTAAAAACTGTGGCAAAACCAGTTTACATCTCCAAAGCAATGCTGGTGATGAAGCCATGCACCTCAGCTGTGTGTGACATGGCCCACAGCTCTGCACTGCAGGAGAATCACAGTCACTCTGGTTTGGATTTTAGTTTACTTGATTTTGGTTGGAACCAAAAATACGACAAACTTGATTTACACAATGTATCCCAAATGATGCATTTTACAACCAGAATTCTTCATCTTTTGGAATGAGTTGTTTGAGTAGCTGTAACTGAAATGCAGTTAGCTTGAAAATGACTGTTGTTTCTGTTGCTGAATGTGTCTGAGTTTTTTAAGGTGTCTAAGTAATTACAGTTTTCTATGCTGCTAATTTGTCTTTTGAGCATTTTTTTTTCCTTTTCTTGTTCATTTGCCACACAGAGACAAGTAAGCAAGAGTAAAATGAGAACGACTATCAGCAAAACTTTCATCTCCCCGACTCTTTTTATTTTTTTAAAGAAAAAATAGAAGTACTTTTCCAGGTAATCTCAGTTCTTGCTGTCTTTGAAGCTTAATACCCTCAACAACAAAAATTTCCATTTGTACAGAAATGGCTTTTCTGAGTTGAAAGTCTTCCCTTTTAAATGTAATTTAATCTAATCTAATTTTAATTAATAATCTAATTAAGTGCATAATTTCTCAAATTGTTTTTACCTGGAAAAAAGTACATTCTGAGGCACATAACTGTTATTTTAAAATGGTTTATAAAGTTTTTAAAATACATAGTTGCATTTTCCCCTGTCACAGTGGAAAATGGTTGTGGCAGCTCTACCTCTCATTACTGTAAAATTTTCCTGCAAGTGATACCACAGAAATCGTGTGTTGGAAAAACACAGACATAACACATAAATAAATAACGGGTTTGCTCTTACTGCCTTGTGGTTACAAAAAGAGGTAAATATTTTCAAGGATAATAAAATAACTATTCCTTTTGAACATGGGATTCTCAAAAGTTTTTTTTCTTCTAATGGCCATGGGAACAGGATTCCCTTGGAGAACAGTACCTCCACATCCTGTCGCATGGTCCCGTAATGTTTTTAAGTACACGGCGATGGAGACATTTTTTGGAGGGAGTGAAGCAGGAATATGACCTGTAGTTACTGAACTTACAGTACCTGCAGACACTTGTTCAGTCCCTGGGGACTTCAGAAATAAGCACTGCAGCACCTACACAGCCCAGCAGGTACCTCTGCAGCAGTGACCGCCACTGCGCAACCAAGGTCTGTGTACAGCAGCAAAACTGTTTGTTTGGGTTGTGCTTCGAAAGAAGGATTTCCTGTCTTCAGAGAATTTTAATTAAAGCAATTCTTTTATACTGTCACAACACTGCTACCATCCCAACAATGCAGGGGTTTCCCTGTTTCGTGTTCTCCCTCTGCAAATCTAAACTCTGAAACATGTTTTAAGGCTATCTGTCTAGTTAAACCTACGCAGAGAAGCCCTCAAGTCAGTGTTAAATCCTCCGCTGTCTCCAGTGAGCTTCAATC